TCCTGGGAGGTTAACTTCTGCATCGGCGCGTGTATTTTCGCGGCAGGGAGCTGCGGCTGAGTCCGGCTGAGTCCAGCTTCATCCTGCTTAACCCCTGGCCGGATCCGGCCTCTTCCGGTGAAGTTGCCCCTTCATCGGGCTGAGTCGCCTTTGATCGTTCTGACGAAGACCTCCCAGGAGTTACCTCCAAACATTCTGCGGCACCTGAGGCCGTACAAGGAGGAGGGGAGGAAGGGTAGAGGTCGGGCCCCGCTCATACGCACCTCGGGGATCAGCCTGCTCTCGGCGAGGTTGGATCCGAGGGTCGTACTTCTGGCCCGTCCTCTCCGGCCTCCCCTTGAGTGGCTCGGGCACCCCAGGCGGCCGTGGTTCTTGAAACATGTTCTTGCTAGGGGTGAGTGGCGTAGTATCATTGAGCCTTTCTTCTGAAGGCCAATGCTGGCCCACTCTCATCTCGGTGATCAGCAACTGCACTGTATCTCGGTGGCCTCGTTTTGCTGCAAATCTGCAGACGTCCGCCAGAAGTCGGTTAAGGTCTTTTGGAGTCAATATGTCACGCCAGACCGGCAGGGCGCGCAGCCAGTAGGCCATACTTGCTGCGTCGCCGTTCTCGACCACCTGCTGGAGGGCGTCAGCGTCCAGCAAGAAGTGGTACGCTGTAGACCTTCCACCTCTGACGACATCGGGCTCTTGTTTCGACTTACCTCCTTCCTCGTAGCTCTTGGTATCGGGCTCGTGCTTCATTGTGCCTACCTCGTAGCTAATGGCATCTGGCCCATTCTTCTCGGGTGCGCCGTTCTCTGTTGGGCGTCCAACATCGTAGCTGATGGAATCGGTTTCGCGCTTCGCTGTGCCACCTTCGTAACTGATGGTATCGGGTTTGTACGTAGCGGATGACATCGGACTCTTTCTTCGTTGTGCTACCCTTGTGCCTGATGGTATCGGGCTCGTGTTGTGCGTCACCTCCCTCGTAGCTGAAGGCGTCGGGTACGCGCCGCCAGCTGCCCTTGCAGGCCGCTGCATGCTTCTCATCATATGCCTCCTCCTCCGAAGTCTCGCTGGTGACGTCCTCGTGTGATGGCGCCCTGCTGGCGCACGGCGTTCCCCGTCTACGGCGTGGTCTCCTCATGCTGTGCCTGACCATGTCGTCCTTGTCGTCGTCCCCTTCGTCGTACCTCGGGCCCTGGTACTGGGCCTATTCGCAGCGCGCCTTCGTGTCCCCGTAGTGCTCCAGCTGGCTAATGATGTAGTCCGTCTCCGCATCGATCTGCTCGAGGATGGGGTGGTACAACATGGCGTGCGTGTCCTCGATCGCCTTTCTGGCCGCTGCCGCTCCGGTCTCCTCTGCGGAACGCTGTCGTAGCTGATGCCGTCTGGCTCGTGCTTCGTGCCGCGACCCTGAGAGCAGATGGCGTCGGGCTCGTGCTTCCTGTCGCCTCCCTGTGCAGCTGATGCCGTCTGGCTCGTGCTTCGTGCCGCGACCCTGAGAGCAGATGGCGTCGGGCTTGTGCTTCCTGTCGCCTCCCTGTGCAGCTGATGCCGTCTGGCTCGTGGTTCGCGACGCCACCCTCGTAGCTGATGGCGTCGGGCTCGTGCTGCGTGTGACCTCCCCCGTAGCTGGCGACGTTGGGCTCAAGCTCCGGAGGAGGACTGCTCGCAGGCTCCAGTCCCATCAAAAGTTGTCACTCGCGGGGCTCTGGGCGCCTCTTCGCACACCCGGGGCCGCATCGCGGGGTGCCCCGCGCGCGCGGACGTCGAGCCATTTCGCCCGAGCGGAACAGCATTGGTTCTGCCCAGCAGTCAGGGGGGGGCAGAGGTGCTGGGCTCGAGAACTTTTTTAAATTTTGTTTTCCCCCTCTTCGGCCTGCCGTTTTCGATCCCGGTGACTGTCCAAACTGGATCTGGGGTGAAAAACCACACCAGATGGACCCCAGGAGGGGTCCGGGGATTAATTTTGAACGGATTTGGCCTCATCCCCCCTCCTTGCCGATTTTCTGGGGTTCCAACCATTGCAGACCCGCCTCCGAGACTCAGGACTCATCGAGGTCCGCGCGGTCCTTCGGAAGTTCATTTCTGTGCCATTTTTGTTTTCTTTCGCCATAGGTCCGATGGATTGTTTCTTACGTGCGCGGTCCCGAGAAGTCGCGATCCTTGCCCTTGGGCCAATTTCTTCTTCCGAGTAGTTTTTGACGGTCCCAGGGCCTGGCGAAGGCTCCTCGGAGGCCGAACACGGCGAAAAACCGCCGAAGTCAGTTTTTCAATACGTTGGAGGTCTGGGTCGAGCTCGGGACTCAAATGTCCGTGAAACGGTCCCAGGAGGGACCTTTGCGGGAATGCAGCATGGGAGTGCAGGCTGCAGGCCAAGAGAGGCAGGGGGAAGGAGGAGGAGGAGGAGGAGGAGGGCCGTGTTGCGTGGCCGAGGTCCGACTCGGACGCCGACGCCGCCTCGGGCTCCGAGTCGGACGACTCATGTCTTTTCGAGAAAGAGTCGGGCGCGCAGGCCGCGCTCCCCCATGCAGAAGGGGGGGGCAGTGCCGTCTAAATTGGTCCATGTCCCCATCTCCATCCCCATCCCGATCCCCACCATCCCACCACCCCAGTTGGGGATATGCCCCTCGAAACTCGAGGGGAACAGCCTACCTCCACATCTGCGGGCGTGAATCGAGCGATCGCAGATGCATCGGCGATGCGGCTCGATGTGGAGGTGGATTTTCTCCTCGTCGACGTCGCCGATGCACCGCCAATGCATCGGCGATGCATCGGCGGTGCGGCGCGATCCTCCGACCCCATCTGCTCGGACCCCATTTAGGAGGCCGCTCGGGCGACGAGAAGTAGGCAGCTGCATCGATCGTGGGCAGGACCATCCAGGGCCCAGGATCGGTGCATGAGCCTCCCTGACCGAGCCAGGAGGGTGTGTGCACCGATCCTTGGCCCAGGATGGTCCAGGCCAGGGTCGGTGCATATGCATATCCAGTTGCGCTGTCGCGCGATTCCGCCACCGCGCTCGGGCGGGCAGGGGGGAGGGCCTTGGGGGAGGGGGGGGGGGGTTCCGCAGGCTCTGTTCGGGACCGTTTTCTGCCTGGACGGCCAAACACGCAGGGACTTTGCCACAACAGTGAACGCATCTTGGGCTCGTTGCGTCGGGGGGCGCTCACTATTGCTTCGCAGACGGCGAACTGGCCCGACGCACACCAACCGCTGCAAGCGCGGTGGCGGATCTCCTTCCTCAGCCACGAGGGGGGGCCACAAGCCACGGCGGATGGTGTTTGGCCATGCTCGGCCTCCGAGGGCGCTCACCGGGCCCCAAGCCCGTCCAACAAAACTACTCAGGATGGAAATCCGGCCCCGGGGAATGGGGCCAGATCTTCTGGGGTCGACGTGGAACAGGTCACGACGTCGGAGGCTTGGGAGGGCGCGGAGCCAGGCGTGGGGGCGCCACGGGGGGCGGCCACAAGCGGGGGGCACCAGTGGGATCACTATTGTGAACATCAGATCGGCGAGGATGTGAGATTTAGGGTGGTAACGAATTGTCTTTCCCTTCCGCCCATGGCCGTTGTGGCTCATCAGCTGGGCGGGAGGGTGGACGCACCTACTCACGACTGCTTAGAGTACGGAGATAAATATCTATTATGTTTTCAGCTTTGTGCTTGCATCAAGTACTGTTGGGAGGGATACTGTGATCAGTATTTACACTGGTAGCCTGGAGCTGGATCAGTTCTACAGTTGCGAGATTCATATTCTGAGTGGCCGTGCAGATATATGTGGCGTTCAAGATTCTCGTAGTTCTTTACCACTGCGCACTTCCTTCAGCGATCAACACGCTGAACATCATCACCTGCAGCTTGGCCGATAATCGTTGCCACGACCCGGACAGCAGCAGGGACAACGACATTTATGACGAACTGGACGGATACGCCATCTTCAGAGACGGCGACGCCAGCATCAGAGACAACAACACTATCGTCAGAGACGGCAACACCATCACTACAGACAAGATGGCGACCAGGCAGCAGCAGCCCAACGACGGACCCCTCTTCGTGGACAAGAAGGGCGTCGTACACTACAACGGCGACCCAGCCTACGGCGAGGAATTCGAGGAGCACGCGATCCTCGGCTATTATGCGAGCGAAGAGAAGCTACATAAGCTCTACGCGAACAAACTCAAGAATTCTTTAAATTGGCGAGCGTGGAACCTCGCGAGGAAGAGGGCCGACATTGCGACGCAAGCGGTGTTTGACAAAGCAGGTGCGGACCAACCTGCTGCAATAAAGCTGGCGGTGGCAACGGTGCGACAAGCGTGCGAGCGGATTGCCCCACCACAGAAGCAGCAAGCTTCCCAGGGGTATTTCTTCAAAGGCTTCCGCATCATATCGGAGTCTGTGCGGGTCTGCATGTCGAGGCGGGGGACGGAGTGCGAGCGGCTCAAGTCTCTCTCAGCAAACAAGACAGTGAGCGCAGACCCACGGACATACTTCTTATTAAAGTCGGCCAGTATCAGCATGACCGAGCACGTGGCTATTCTCGGGCATTGCAACAACGAGTGCATCTGGGACGACGTGACGGCGGCGATGCTCATCCAGCGGGACACGACATGCAGAAACGAACGTGGTCACGGACGTTATGGATCATGCCCAGTGGACTACGACGATGACGGGGAGGAAGCCCTACTTGGATACGCGTGTGGTGTATTCGATGAGGAAGGGCTTCTGAGCGATGAAGACTACGACGCGCTGGCAGCCGACATCGACGAGTTCGAAGGGGTGATTGGCGACGTCGACCCCGAGTAGGTCAGCCAGGAGGAGTGCGACGCTCTAGCGGCTGCGGCGCGGCGTCTAGGGTGGGAGGCTGGGCGAAAAGGCCACGAGCTTAACTGCAAGCGAGCCCGGGAAGAGGCTTGTGCGGAGCAGGTCCAATCGAGGCTGGAAAGCCAACATCAACAAGCGGGGATCCATCGAGATGGGCGGCAAGGAGGCCGAAGAGAAGCTCCAGAAGATGTAGGGGCTCGCACGAAGTGCAACGCATGCCACAGAAAAGGGCCATTGGAAAGGCGACCCGGAGTGCGAGAAGACGAGGCCACTTGTCGGCGGGCCATCGAGCAGCCTACAGCGTGGAGGACGAGATGGTGGCCGAGGCTTTCGCGGGCGACCTGTGGGTTTTCTACGCCGGCTGGGTTGGCGATGGCAGTGGCGGTGAAGCTACTGATGTTGGACAGCTCAATGGACGTGACTTCCATCCAGATCGTGACTGGCCAGCTGGCAAGCATGGGGGCCGCGATGGGGGACATCGCGAGCGTGGCGAAGGTGAGGATGGACGCCGACGAGCAGATCGTGAATGCCTGGGCGGTGTCAGCACTTGGAGACGATCGAGGTGCGCGAGCGTGGCCTGGAGAAGCGAATCGGATCCAAAGCATTCCCAGGTTGAGTGATGACCGAACGCCGGGATCTGGATCAGGACGGACATGGCCCAGCAGATCGAGCACTGACTACCGTGAAGAGGATGCCGCGCGGCGGACCTACAGAAGATCAAAGATCGATCAGCACAGATTGCAGCATTCTGGGCCAGCTGTGGGAATGAGGAAGCAGCCTGCAGGGATAACATGGATTGGTGTGTAGACTGGGCACTGCGCCAGATCCACTATCTCATGCGCATCCACTATCTCATGCGCATCGCGATGGAGATGGCACCGCGGGGGCTCAGGAACTTGGCGTGCGACCCATGCAAGCATCTTGGGGCAGTGCCTCGGAACTGCGAGATATCGCAAGGGGCGCCTGCGAGCGCCTACCTCATGGAGTGCGACCGACATGGTTGTGGGCGGAACGTAGGGCGGGCACAGACTACAGGCCTACAGAGGATCGCGCGCCATCACTTGGCCTGCAGGTGAAGGGCGACGAGCTGGAGGAGACCGAGGCCTCCGCGATAGGGGAAGGACTTCTTCCACAAGGACATGCTGTACTGGGCGCGGCGTGCCTGCGAGGGCGTGGAGGTTCAGTAGCGCTGGGCGGCCGCGCGGAAGACAGCAGGGCCCCTGCGAGGACGATGGGGCCCATCCATGCGCTTCCGAGGCGTGAATGATAGCGCCCTGGTCATGGCAGAAGGCGAGCAGGAGGTGGCGGCAGGACATGCAGGGGCCGACGTGAATCTACGATTCCAGAGGCTGCCGAAATCGAAGACGCCAATACTGCTAAGCATCCACCAGCTGGAATAGCTAGACGCAGTGCTGTGCGCGAAGGGGCGGAAGGCGGACTTCAAGGCGATCAACAAGTACGGGGTGCCGCTCAACAGGGCCGAGATGGGGCGCCCAGCGATCTCGCTCAGGGACTGGCCGAAGAAATATTCAACCAAGACAGTGTCATCTGTTACGACGGATGAGATCGACATCTTGGACCGCGGAGGTGCAAGAGATAGACGAGGGCATCCTACGACGAAAGCAGAGGAAACAGATGGAGACGGGGGGGGGGGGGGGGGGGAGTTGCAGGACAAGCTGGACCAGTGCCAGCAGGTCGTGGGGGCGCTTAAGGGCGGACCCAGAGGAGAAACGGCTTAACATATGCGAGCTCTATGCTGGCGGCATGGCAGCCGCTTCGGGCAGCGGCGACGCCCTACTGCGAGACCAGGGGAACATCATGATAAGGGGGCGACCAACTGGACACCAAGTCACAGCGCAAGGTGCTGGAGCAGCTGGGCGAGGACGACCCCTGCGTGACTATCGTGGGTTTTCCATGCGACAAGTTCGCGAACATATCGCACGTGCTTCTGCGGGGGACGAGGGTGGTGAAGCTAGCCACTGGCATGAAGCACTTGCGGTTCGTCAAACAGATCTGGCTTAACTGCAGGCGTCGAGGAGCACGCGTGCTATTCGATAACCCGCTGACGTCCAAGGCGTGGAAGCTCATGCCGTGGCTGGGCTCAGAGTCTGTGGCCGCGATGACGCACCAGTGCGCCGAGGGCAGCAACCTGGTGGACTGCATGGGCGATCCCGTCAAGAAGCCGACGCAGTTCCGGACTGCGGCCTTCATGCTAGGCGCAAATCTCCAGATCATCAGGTGTGACAGCACGCACGAGCACGCGAGCGTGATCAACGGGCTGAAGGGAAGAGCATCAAGTCTCGGCAACTGGACGGCCAACCTGGCTAAGACGATCATGGGCGGCATCGAGAATCAGAGGGGCCTCGAGGAGCAGCACGGTGGGCACGCCAGGTATACCAACGACTTCGATGACATCGAACCTGGCGAGATCAAGGCCAATCGTGCAGAGGCGGAGGCGCCCGTGCACGCGAGTGCAGCGACGATCTTCAGCAAACACGGAGACAACATCGAGATGGTGGAATGGACGGCGGCGCCACCACTTATGCGTGCAGCTATCGAGAAGATGCACGAGAGCCATTCACATGGACCCTACAAGGAGTCATTGGTACGATACGTACAGCACGGTGGAGCTAGTCGGCGAGCGGTGCGGGCAGCGCGACTCTTCAGATGCACGACGTGTGTGGTGCAGGCTCGG